GAGTACCGGTAGCGCTAGTTGGTTAGACGCCACCACTCTGTTGCTGTCCGACAGTGGGCTTGACCAGATGACGGATAATCATCTCAGGCAAGTGTTAGCTGCTCGCTCCAAAACCGCCTTCTCATCTTGCAATAACTCTTCTGTTACTCCCAGAAAACGATAATGCAAGTCCTTCTTAAGACAATCCACGCTCATTGTTCCCATCACGTATCCTTCCGAATCTTTTAAGGTAATTCCCCTTCTCACTTGCAAACGAGTACACTTCTTGGGGTTCCACTGCAGGCCGATGTCCCCCATCGTGGTCTGAGCCATCTCCAGCACTCTTTTTAATTTCGCTTTAGAGGCGGTGAACACCTTGAGATCGTCTATGTAGAGCAAGTTCGTAATCTTGGACGCGATCGGCTCTGACAGCCTATAACCTTCAGTAGAGCTCAGTCTCCACGCAACCGAATTAAGACACAAGGTAAATAGGTATGGGCACAGAGCGTCACCCTGTGGAAGACCTCTGTTGAAGTACATGGGTCGTACATGGGTAACGATGTCTCACTCACTTCGTCGGAGCGAAGGGCTAACGCTCAAAACGTCAGCTTTTACAATCGAACGGTGGCTAATTTACCATTTCAACTTTGTTGATATATTCAAATTATTTCGTTACCCTCACCGTCGCAGCCCCAAACAGTTTCTTTAGAAACTATCTATACTTAATAACCTAAGGATCCGACTTGTATTATGCAAATGATAGAATGCCGAGGCGCATTGTTTACTTATGTGGAATGACATATCCAGATTACGATCAAACCGTGAACCAAGTCTCGCGGAACTGCCATCCACACCAAATCTCGGCTTCAAACGATTTAGAAGAGTGTCGTGTCGAAAAGTGTCAAAAGCAGCGCTGCGGTCAAGGAGAACCAACAAAGTGACCTTTTGCGCCCTCCATATTCAACAAAATATCGTTCTTGACCTTGAGCAGTGTTGACTCGGTGCTATGGTTTTGCGTATACGCGGACTGGAGAGGCATATGCAATTCATTAGCTGTCATGTGGTCAATGAGCTGATTAGCCGCTGCCTTCTCTGACAACTTGGAAACATATGGGAGGTTGAGATAGAATAAATATATGAAAATCATATATTTTGAACTGCGGTATTTCATACGTATGATGGACGATCCTCGCAGTAGATAGCGCTATTTGAGCAATAGCGAAATTCAGACCTGAAAAAAATCAGGCCTGTACGGGACTCGAACCACTGACCTCTGCGATACTAGTGCAGCGCTCTAACTAATTGAGCTAACAAGCCAACTGAGAGCAGGCCGTTAAGTTGATTCGTAATGAACCCGTGAAAGTGATAAATGAGATAGAATAAATATATGAAAATCATATATTTTGAACTGCGGTATTTCATACGTATGATGGACGATCCTCGCAGTAGATAGCGCTATTTGAGCAATAGCGAAATTCAGACCTGAAAAAAATCAGGCCTGTACGGGACTCGAACCACTGACCTCTGCGATACTAGTGCAGCGCTCTAACTAATTGAGCTAACAAGCCAACTGAGAGCAGGCCGTTAAGTTGATTCGTAATGAACCCGTGAAAGTGATAAATGAGATAGAATAAATATATGAAAATCATATATTTTGAACTGCGGTATTTCATACGTATGATGGACGATCCTCGCAGTAGATAGCGCTATTTGAGCAATAGCGAAATTCAGACCTGAAAAAAATCAGGCCTGTACGGGACTCGAACCACTGACCTCTGCGATACTAGTGCAGCGCTCTAACCAATTGAGCTAACAAGCCAACTGAGAGCAGGCCGTTAAGTTGATTCGTAATGAACCCGTGAAAGTGATAAATGAGATAGAATAAATATATGAAAATCATATATTTTGAACTGCGGTATTTGATACGTATGATGGACGATCCTCGCAGTAGATAGCGCTATTTGAGCAATAGCGAAATTCAGACCTGAAAAAAATCAGGCCTGTACGGGACTCGAACCACTGACCTCTGCGATACTAGTGCAGCGCTCTAACCAATTGAGCTAACAAGCCAACTGAGAGCAGGCCGTTAAGTTGATTCGTAATGAACCCGTGAAAGTGATAAATGAGATANAGCTGCACGGTAAAACCAACCAGTGGACCAGAGCCAGGTGCTCAAATTTCTTTCAAAGAATCTCTTATCAGCAAGCTGAATTCTCTTGTAAGTATATATCATTTGATTTAAAATGATGTTTATTTCTGTTTCTTTCTTGAAACAATTGTAAAATAATACACAATTTCAAACATTCCCTTCACTGACAGGCAGAGAAGGGTGAACTGTCTACTGACAAGCCAGTCAAAATAAAAATCTGTGGCGATGGAGCGCGAATGACAAGACTGACCAACTTTGTCATACTCAGTTACAGCCTCCTTGATGATAATGATAATCTGTTAAATGCTAGAGGTAAGAAACTTTGTTTTAGGTCCACACCCTTTTGGTTCAACCAGGCAATTAAAGGGAACACTTAACCACTGTTTTTTTCTTTTCTGTTTGAAACCCACACCACACTTCTCTTCCATTATGTTTCTGTTCCATCACAAATGCTATTATACTAATCATTCATATTACATCATTTAGGTACCCACACTATTGCCATAATGAGTGGGTCAGAGTGCTATGCATCCTTCAAGGCAAATCTCAAAGATTCTTGGGATGAAATAAATAAAGTGATAGCTGATGGTAAAGTGGCAATAAACCAAGGACAAGAAGTACCTGTTGAAATTTATCTTGGTGGGGATTATAAGGTTAGATAGGGAGCTTTCGGTGGAAGAAGACCACTCACTATTTCATTCTTAATAATTTGCTTTATTTCTTCAGTTTCTTTTATTAGCTAGTGGCAGGTCAGCTGCAAACTCCATCTATGCTTGGTTGTGGTGTAAGATCCCCAAAGATCAAAGGTAAAGTGTTGTAAAATACATACCTGTAGAATTTAGCTCAAAGCCACAGTACTAAACTTTTGAATTAATTGTCAAAACCTAGTAATCATAAAGCTATGCATGGTCAATACAAAACAGAATTTTACTCTAATTATAAAATGCTGCTCTGTTGATGCTATGAAAGCAGGAAACCTGCCATTTCTATTTCAGATGGGACATGTCCAAGCCAGGAGACTTTTACAGCAAACCCCCCATGGCATTCACTTTGGCAGATGTAAAAAAGCATGCTACTTTAACTGAGTTCTGCTGCATTAACCAACCTCTATTAAACATACCTCTCCATTGCATTGTCCTCGATGAGCTTCATCTCCTCCTTAGAATCACTGACGTTCTGGTATGCAATCTGATTGAGGATGCCATGGAGTGGGATGATCAAGAAGATTTTTTAAAGAAGAGAGGAGAGCCTAAAGGCTGTCAGTTAAGACATCTCACACACGTGATAAACAGTTGTGGCATTACATTTGCTGTGTGGGAGAAGAAAGATGGCGATGGAAAGAGGATGGGTAAAATGGATTGGACGTCTGATGGGGGATGAAAGAAAAAAATTACTCAAAAATCTTCCTGCAAAATTGGAGCGCTCAAAGGATTCCATCCTCTGTAATACTGCCCAGACAGTTATTAAAATATGGAAGGTATTTTTCTGAGCCCTACATATAATCCATCAAATATTTCTGCTTGTGTGCGATTGGTCTAAATGCACCTCGCGACCTAATATTCCGGAGTTA